GGTTCCGGCCGGGCCTGCGGTGAGCCTTGACCCGAGCTCTGGGGTGAGGCGGGACGCGACCCAGGCGTCGGTCGCCGTGGGAAGGGAGAGGATGCGGGGAGGGCCCCGGCCGCTCGGTTACTCTGACCGGCCGCTGGGTGCCCTGGAGAGACGCCGCGGCTGAGCAAGGAAAAGGCCCGTGTTGATTCCTCGCTGCAAGGCAAACTCAGGCCGCCGAGGGATCTAACGCTGCGCGCGGGCGGGGTGGCGAGAGAGCTTAGAGCACCCCAGGGCGCTCGCAGGTAACGAAGGGGTGACTCACAAGAGCCGCTGTGTAGCCGCCTCTTCGCTGTGATTCCGCCTCAAGTTTTCGGGGGTGGCTCCGTGTGCTAGTTTTTTTTCTTAAAAAGTTAGCGAGGAAAGCAGCCACTGAACCACATGCTACCACTGGAGTTCTTGTACATTACTTGTTTACAGTAAAACTTTCATGCACCTGTGAGTTTCCTGCTTCAGTCGGTAAGGGCAATAGTAGCAGCCCAGTGCGGTGTTCGTAAAGGCGAGGGGCGGTTGGATGTTTTGTGTTTGATGTTGCTAAGTTTCCCACGCCCAGTGTCCCTGTGAAGGTGAGGCAGATGGTTCATGTCATCACTACTTGCAGGATTTCTGGGATGGCAGTGAGTGGGCAGTGGAGTCTCTGGTCTTCCTGCTGGTAATAAAACTTTAAACTAGCTTCAGTGTGGTCACAACTAATATGGTTTGAAGTTGACTTGTCTGCAAAACTGGCTTCCTCTTTGAGGCAAAAAGAACATGGAACAAATTATTCAAGACATTAAGATCATTGAAGCCCTTTCTCATTGTTTTAACTAGTAACTTTATAACAATAGATAGAAATTGGTGTGTTTAGCATAGAGCATTGTTCTAACTGGGCCAAGGTGGCATTATAGAAGCTAATTTTTTATAACAAGGTTTTAAATGTACATGGTCAAACTTTTGACATGGCATAGCAATTTAGTTGTCAGTATTGTGCGGGGTGGATAAAAATTAATGACTTAAAAACAAAGAATTGGATTTTTTTATTTAAATTGGATTTTTTTTGTGATTAAATGCTTTCTGAGGAAAAAACCTATCTAAAGGTTGTTTTAAGATACATTATAGTTCAAAGATACCTCATCATGGAATAAGGATTATACATTCTAATTCTGTAGTATGAGACTATATATTCATGTAATGTTTAAGAAAAGTTTTGTAAATGGGAAGGGAGGGACAGACAGAGTAGAAACAAAAGTGAAACTGTTTGAGCACCATACCCAAGATGTCTTGAGGTCTTTCTGAGTGTGATTTGAGCCTTCATTGACTTGTGATTCTACCATTCTCTCACTAGATGGGGAAAACCTATAATGCCAGCAGGCTGTAAAAGAGACCCAGTTTGGGAATAAGAGCCATTCAAGAAATATGTTTGCTGCTGACGTTTTAAAGAAAGTCACACCAGTGAACTGGCAGAAATCACTTAAGCACTTGGGTTCAGAGACTGTTGAAGTGATAATCTCACTTTTAACAGCAGTAGCTTCTTCTGCTGGTGTAGAAAGAATATTTTCTTCCTTTGGACTAATTCATTCCAAATTGAGAAATCATTTGGGACCTGAAAAAGCAGAAGAGCTTGGTTTTCTTTTCCAGATTATGAACAAACAGGAAAATGAAGGTGAAGACGACTGAGTTAACTGCAGAAGCCAGTATTTTAAGTTTCTCATGTTGATCTGGCTGACATACTTGATTTAACTTTTTTAAAGTTTCTTTAACTATTTTAAACAATTTTAACAAAAACAAATCTGATTTTTAAAAAAAACTTGAATGTTGAACTAAATTAAAAAATTCATATGCTTGTTTTGTTAAAATATTATGTTTGCTGTTGAAGGAAAAAAATCCAGAATACTAGTTGTTGATTTAAATAAATCAATTTAAATGTCTGTCTGGTGATCTCCTCCTAATACAGCATGGCAAGAAAGTTCTCCAAATAGTAATGATTAACCTACTGAATTGTAGATAGTTCACCTCCCAATAACTTCGTAAATACCTGCTTCAGTTATCTTTGGTAAATGAAATAACCAAACAATCATTCATTTTCTCATATAGCTGTAAAACTAATCTGAAAAGTTTTCAAAATAAATGACTTTTAAAATGTATAGTGTGTACCTTCTAAAAATGAAACCTACATCTATCTCTGAGTTGTGAAGAATATGTATTAAGCTTATAACAACCAAAAAGAATGCAGTTTTACATAGAAATCCGTGATTAAATCGAGTCTTCCTGACTAGTGACTTAAATCATTATTTAAAGCAATTTGACTTGCACAAAACCAGGGTTGATTTGATTTGTAGAATATCAGAAAAAAAACATGGTTTTGGCCTAGTTTGAGTGATGGGAATGGCCTTGGGGTCTGTTAGTTCCATGCTCTGATTATATGGTCCTTTTGCAGTTATTGCAGTACTTCTGAAGGGTGAAGAATCCAGACCCATATGATTATTCAGTTTTTGGGGTATGAGGTATTGTTTAACTCCAGTTAGAAAAGATGTTTGTCTCCAGATGGGGAGGTGTAAGAACTTGGCAGTTAAGTTAAACGGTAGTTATGTTACCTTACTGGGCTGACTAAATAGTCAGCTGAAGTCTGTGTAAGCCAATGGGTAAATCTGCTTGCCAGGACACTTATGACTTTTTTTTTAATTGTGAACAGGGAATGAACAAATTACGTAAAGGTTGGTTTTATAAGCTCATTCATTTGAGCCCTATAGATAGTCCTTGTGTTAGCTCTGGCTATGACCACAGAGCCGTTCTGATCAGATGTTTACATAATTTGTTTAAATCCTCTTTCCAGTTTCTTAGACTGAATTCAGTTGGTTAGTGGACCATGGAATTGTTTATATTTTGTCACAAGAAAATTATCACTAATGTCCAGTGAAAACATGAAAATAACTTTCCTTTGAAATTTAGAAGTGAGAACAGCAGGATTTTTTGACTTCCTGTAGCTGAACAACTAGTCCCAGCAAAATCAAAACTTCAGATATAAATTAGCATAATTTCAGAGCACTATAAGAAGTTTAAAAATAAACCTGTCAACTTTCTCAAACTTTTTTCACCTCCCCAAAATTTTTTTTAGTGATTGTTGGATGAAATCATTTGAGGAAAATTTTTCTAAATCTCTGGAAAAAATCTTAACTAGTTCAGTTCAATGCTGGTGCAAAGTTAAGAAACCAGTTGGAAAAAGCAGGAAAGCTTGTTTTCCTTTTCTAATTTAGGAATAATAAAAACTAGGTGTAAGAGGATGAGCTCTACTAGTTTTTAAATTTTTGATGGACATGGTGTCCACAAAAGTATTTAGTCTAACTTTTGCTGAATTCAGTGGAAGTCAAGAGCCTAAATACCTCTGTTTCCAATCACCGTGGCCCAAATATACAATCAGCTCAGTTCACTAGCTACAGATAATACTACCATTGTTTAATAAATCAGTTAATTTTAAATGCAAAACATGCTAAACTTTTTCTTGTATATCTAGTATACCCGCGGACACACTAAAGTTTGCATCCCCAGAAGGTCTTCCTGACTCTTGAGGCAAAGACAATAGAATTAGGAAAATATAAAGGGAGTAAAAAGACATTCTAGTTAACTATTGGTTGGGGAATAAAGCACTCTCTGATTCTGTGAGTATGGGATCCCCATATCTGGTGGGCTGGTAACCTGATGTAAGTAATACTCCTGGGGGAATTCTGCACCAAAAAAATTCTGTGCACAATATTTTAAAATTCTGCATATTTTATTTGTCAAAATAAAAGTACAATCCCACCAGTTACAATTATTTTGGTAATTTATTTCAAAATGCCTATCAGCAAGTACATCTGTAACAATACAGACGACAACAAAAGATTCAGGAAATGTTTTTTACAAATTCCTTACTAGGTATATTAATACAGAACTCGAAGTAATTCAATACAGAACTGTATTTCCCGCACCCCTCAGAAGCAGGGCAAATGCTTGGGGGAGTCCAGGGGTGCAGTGGAGCAGAGCTGAAGGAGAGGGAAGTAAATTGCTGGGAAGGAACCTGGGTCTGAACTTGGAGGGTTGTTGGGTATGGGTGGGAAAAGTATGTAACAGGTGTTTTTTGGGGGAGGAGGGAGGGATTGTTAGGGAGCTTCTGCCATGCAGACCTGGCTAAGATTGTAACTTGCTAAAATTTAAGTTTTAATTGCTAGAGAACTTGTCTTGTTTGTAACCATATGTCTTTTCCTCTTGCTTAGAATCACTTTTAAATCTGTTTTTTGTTAATACATTTATTCTTGATTATTACAAAACAATCTCTGTGAAGGGTGAGTCTTCAGCTAACCTAACAGATGTGTGCTCTGCCTTTTTGGAGGCAGAGAACCTAATTTCTGAGTATCCAGTGAGACGGATACCTGGATGCTGCAGGGAGATGTCTTAGGTGAACTTGGGAACTGGGATTCAGTGGGCTGTAACCCACGAAAGCTTATGCTCTAATAAATTTGTTAGTCTCTAAGGTGCCACAAGTACTCCTGTTCTTTTTGAGGATACAGACTAACACGGCTGCTACTCTGAAACCTGTCTTTAGACTGAAGAGTTTGCTGGCAAGGCAGATAGGCTGTTGTGTCAGAGAGCTGACACTGAGTTTAGCAGCAGCAAAGCTCTCACTCTTGCTAAGTCAGAGTGATAAAACAGTGGCTCACAGTTCTGCGAGTTCTAAGCATGACATTACAGTTCACCAGATGTAGAAACTAAGCAGCAGAACATACAGTT